TCTCTACAGATATTATTCTCCTTTCTTATTTTTATCTTGCTTAATTAGTCTTGGAATGTAATAGAAATTTCTTTGAATTTATTTAGTTAGTTTCCTTATCTAAGGAGGAGAGACTCCTATATGTAAATGCACCTTGAATTGAATCATTAAGAAGAAATAAAATTTTCTCTCAATTTCTAGTTTTATGGTATCAGAGCGGGAGATAAAATTCTGAAAAAAAAAACCCTAGTCTTCGTCCCTGCGCAGCCACTGCTCGCTTCCGCAAGTCGCGATCGATCCCCCAAGCCGCCTGCGCAGCCACTGCTCGCTTCCGCAAGTCGTGATCGATCCCGCAAGTCGCGATCCTTCTACCGCGAGTCGCGATCCCGTCGAACCTTTGGCCTATCTCCGATTCCTACTTCCTGAGTCGTAAAGACTTCTTCCGCCACTTGCAAAACCGAACCATCTCTTCTTTTTTATCATGCCTTCAATCCATGAGGCTTTCTCAGAAGTTCGCCGCGAAGAAACTCGAAGTGGGGTGATGCTCAACAAGAAATCTATTCCTACCAGCATACCCGAGACTTTGGCATTCCAATCGGAGGCTCATATCAGCAAGCGGACTGTTCCATATTCACAGAAGAATGAGGAGAAACCACGGGTATGGTGTGATCATTGCAGGAAGCCACAACACACTAAAAAAACTTGTTGGTACCTCCACGGCAAACCTACAGACTGGAATCCAAGAAACAAGCGCAATCCACCTACTGCTAATGTTGTTGCCGAATAAACCAACCCATTTAACAAAGAGCAAATCAATCAACTCCTGAAACTGCTAAACCCCAGTTTGGCCACTAGTACTCCAACTTGTTCAATGGTACATGCAGGTAGACAACTAAACCCTTGGATTATTGATTCAGGAGCTTCTGATCATATGACTAATTTACACTATCTATTTCATTCATACATCCCATGTTCTGACCATGAAAAGGTTCGTATTGCTGACGGTAGTTTCTCTTCCATTGCTGGAGAAAGAAACATTAACATGTCCAAGAGTATATGTCTTAAATTTGTACTCCATGTTCCAAAACTCAAATGCAATCTTCTATCTGTCAACAAACTTTCAAAAGAATCTAGCTGTCGTATAATTTTCTGTGAATCCTCTTGTGTTTTTCAGGACCAGAACTCGGGGATGATGATTAGGAGAGCTAAAAAGATAGGAGGACTTTACTATTTCGATGAGACTATTCCTGGTAAAAATAAGGTTTAAACTTACAGCATTATGAGGTTGAACCCTGCATTAGAGAAAATAATGGAATTGCAAAATAATGGGAATTGCATCTTAGACTAGGCCATCCAAGTTTTTCTTATTTAAAACATTTATTTCCAAATTTGTTTAAGGGTGTTAATTGTGCTTTACTTCGATGTGAAACATGTTATTTGACAAAAAGTCATCGTATAAATTTCTTCGCATGAATTTTTCTCCAAAATCTCTCCAAAATCATACTCTCCTTCAAAACCTTTTTACATGATCTATAATAAAGTTTGGGGACCTTCAAAAGTCAAAACATTATCTGGGAAAATGAGATTTGTGACTTTTATTGACGGTCACACCAGAATATGTTAGGTTTATCTTATAAGCAAAAAATCAGAAGTTGAAAAACTTTTTAAAGATTTTTACAACATTATTGAAACTCAATTTGAAACTAAAATATGTATCCTTAGATCTGACAATAGAACTGAATATTTTAATGAATGTTTATGGGAGTTCTTGATAAACAAAGGTAAATTCATCAATCTACTTGTCGTGGCACTCCACAACAAAATGGAATTGCTGAAAGAAAAAATAAACATTTACTTGAGGTTGCTCGGGCTATCATGTTTTCAATGAATGTTCCAAAATATTTATGGGGGATGCTGTTTTAACAGCATCATATTTGATAAACTGAATGTCAACTCGAGTTTTTAATATACAACTCTTCTAAACAAACTGAAAAACAATTTTTTAAGTCTACGAATGTCTTCAAATATTCCTTTAAAAATCTTTGGATGCACATGTTTCGTTCATATTCCGAATAAATACCGATCAAAATTGGATCCAAAATCTGAAAAATGCATTTTTCTTAGATTTGCCTCAAACAAAAAAAGTTACAAATGTTTTAATCCTGTCATAAAAAAAAATTTACATTAGTATGGATGTGACCTTCATGGAAAAAATTCCCTTCTTTTACAAAAATCCACTTCAGAGGGAGTATAATATAGATGGAGAAGATGATTTTTGGCAAGTCTCTAACCCATTACCAAAAATTGTTGTAACATCTACTACACCTGAGGTCTGTGAAAACAAAGAACCAGAAATAGTTGTTGAAAATAAGGAGAACCCTAGCCAAGAGACACCTGAAAGTATCTTGTCTAACACAGGGGAAGAAATACCGCATAATATAACAGCAGAACCTCTTGTTTATTCCAGGGAGAGGCTCCATAAAAGAAAAAAAGTTCAAACTGAATCTTTAGCTCCCTCCCAATCTGAAGAACCGAATGATGGTCCTCAAGAAACACATGTAATTTCTGATCCTGGTCTTATTTTTTCACCAACAGAATTCAAGATTCAGAGATTATGAATCTGGATCTTCCTATAACCTTTAGAAAAGGAACACGTTCTTGTACTACCAAATATCTTATTTCGATATACCTATCCTACAAAAAAATCTCACACAAACATAAAGCTTTTTTGTCAAAAATTTCTAATCTGTCTGAACCTAGAACAATACAGGAAGCTCTTAGTAATCCAAATTGGAGAATAGCAGTAAAGGAAGAGATTGATGCTCTTTTGAAAAATGGGACCTGGGAAATTGTCACTCTATCAAGAAACAAGTCTATTGTTGGGTGTAAATGGGTCTTTACTACTAAAGTCAAAGCTGATTGGAGTATCGAAAGATATAAAGCAAGATTAGTAGCGAAAGGATTCACTCCAACTCATGGAATTGACCATCATTAGACATTCGCTCCGGTAGCCAAGATAAATTCTATTCGGGTTTTACTATCCATAGCAGCAAACTGTAATTGGCCCCTGCATCAGCTCGACGTCAAAAACGCTTTTCTAAACGGTGAATTAGAGGAAGAGGTATTCATGGATCTTCCACCAGGATTTGAGAAGAAGTTTGGAGTGTGCAGATTAAGCAGATTAAAGAAATCCTTGTATGGGCTCAAGCAATCTCCTCGCGCCTGGTTTGAGAGGTTTGGACAGGTGATTACAACATATGGATACACTCAAAGTCAAGCTGATGATGTTATGTTCTACAAACATTCAGAAACTGGTAAACTCGCTATACTCATTGTCTATGTAGATGATATCATCCTTACAGTATCTCCTTACAGGAGATGATGCTAGGGAAATTGAGAAATTAAAAGAAAGATTGGCCACAGATTTCGAGATTAAAAATCTGGGAGATGTAAAATACTTTCTTGGTATTGAGTTTGTCAGATAAGGGGGTCTTTATTAATCAGCGAAAGTATACACTCGACTAACTCAGTGAAACCGGAATGCTTGGGTGCAAAACAGTTGAAACTCCGATTGAACCAAATAAAAGGTTATAAGTGACAAATAAAATAGATGGTGTCAATAAAAAACAATATCAGAGACTGGTGGGAAGACTAATCTACTTGTCACACACTCATCCTAATATAGCATTTGTTGTTAGCATGGTAAGTCAGTTTATGAATTTCCCAAATACTCATCACTTGGAGACTGTCTATCGAATCCTTAGGTATCTGAAAAGAACACCCAGAAGAGGACTACTTTTCAAGAAAAATGAGCACTTACAGGTAGAAGCATTTACAGATGCAGATTGGGTTGGAAGTGTTACAAATAGAAGATCAGCCTCAGGGTACTGTACTTTTCTACGAGGAAACTTAGTAACTTGGATGAGCAAGAAGCAAAGTGTCGTGGCAAGAAGCAGCGCTAAAGCTGAATTCAGATCTGTGGCTCATGGGATATGTGAAGTTCTATGGATTAAAAGAATTCTCAATGAGTTAAAAATTCATAGCCCACCACCAATAAAGGTTTACTGTGATAATAAGTTTGTCATCGTCATCGTCCACAATCCTGTCCTCATGATAGAACAAAGCACGTAGAGATAGACAAACACTTCATCAAAGAAAAAATTGACAGAGGAGATATCTGCATGGTACCAAATAGCGGATATTCTAACAAAGGGTCTTCACAAAAAACAATTCGACGGTTTAGTATGCAAGCTGGCTCTGAAAGATATCTTCATGACAACTTGAGGGGGAGTGTTGAAATATCTAATTCAAAATTCAAATTACAATATTTATTGTCTTTCCTTTTCTACATATATGATTCTCCTTTCTTATTTTTATCTTGTTTAATTAGTCTTGGAATGTAATAGGAATTTCTTTGAATTTATTTAGTTAGTTTCCTTATCTAAGGAGGAGAGACTCCTATATGCAAATGAACATTGAATTGAATCATTAAGAAGAAATAAAATTTTCTCTTCAATTTCTGGTTTTATTTTGCATCTCCATGCAAAGAATCAATGGATGTTGATGCTTGCAACACAGATAGAAGTGTAATTCGAGGATATTGAATAAACATACCATGCAAAGAATCAATGGATGCTGATACTTGTAGCATAGATAAAAGAGTAATTGGAGGATATTGAATAAACATAGGAATGAAGCATACTACTCCGTGTTTTAAAATGAAGGCAGCAATCTTGTTTTTTTTTTTCCTCTATCATGAAAAATGCAATTCCTGATCATGATGATGAAAACTAAGGGAATCCCTCTCCATAAAAATATTACAATGATTGAGCAATTACACCCTCTCCTTGTAGAGATTGACTGCAGTTTCAATAAATAAAAATAAAAAAACAAATAAATAAAAACCTGTACTATAAACAAGGAATATTGACAAACAAAGAACATTCAGCCCAAATGATTTATGATTTTTCAAATGTTAATTTAAATTCTTGACACTGCAAAGTAGGAACAGCTCAGCGTACCTCCTTTTTCTTCAATTCCGCCAATGAAGCTTCCAGCAGGTGGTGATAGTTTGTATACCCGCAGATCAAAGCAGATCCCCTCGGACCCATGCCATGCTGTCTGGCTGCCTATCGTCCCAACAAAAATAATAATAATAATAATAACCTCAATAAAAATACTAGGCATCAAATGGATGTTTGGCAAGGATTCACCATTGCTGCAGCCTTTCGAACCGCTGGGTGACTGCTTAAACCTAAATAATCGTTCCCAGAAAAGAGAAGCATCTTCCCACCAACACTTATATCCTCGTTTTTGTCCTTGCCTCCTTCAAAATAAGAAAAGAAACATTAAAACTAATATTACAGTTGAGTGAAAATGTAAAGCAGCAAACCAAAGAAATAAAAAAACCCCAGGGTAAAGGGAGATCGCAGAGCCAATGCCGGAAAGTTTCCTTCTCGAGCTCGACTTCCACCGACTCCCGGTCCCAGCGGCGTGGACCGTCGAAGGTCTCAAACTCGATGGAGACGTCGCCAGAGCTCGAAAGGTCTATTGGCCGGGTAGAGCGAAGAAGATTCCTCGTAGAGAGAGTAGAGAGCGCCGCGCTGAGCCACGTATCCCAGCTCTCCATTGAATGTTGCGGGAGCTAGCAAGCCTCGGAGGTCGAAGGCGGTGAGGCGGTAATGTGCTTCATCGTTACCTCGGGGTCTAAACAAACGAAACAACAGAATCTGTGTATAATATATTTGTCGCAGGATCGTTGTGCCACTTCTGACCGCGGGGTCTAAACAAACGAAACAACAGAATCTGTGTATAATATATTTGTCGCAGGATCGTTGTGCCACTTCTGACCGCCCACTTGTGACCGCGGGGTCTAAACAAACGAAACAACAGAATCTGTGTATAATATATTTGTCTATTCATGTAAGATTGGTTTTAAATTTAATTTATTTAAAATAAGTACTTGTTCATGAAGTTCTAATATTAATATATATAAATAATATATTATATTAATTATATAAATTATATTATATAAATATATAATATCTATATTATTATATTACTAATATAGTATATTAATATATTATTATTACTAATTTATTATAAATTATAATTTATAAAATTTAATTTTTTAAAACTAGCATAAATTTTTTATATATAATTATTTTAAATTATTTTATATTTCGAACAATAACGATTCGAACACGAATGAATGCATCACTGTTCGTGTTTGGTTCGTTTAACTAACCGAACGAAAAAAATTTATTCACGTTCGTCTCGTTTACTTATCGAACGAATCGAACATGAACTCATTGACGAACCGAACACGAACTCTTCGCGAATAACGAGCTTTTTTGACAGCCCTGGTGACAGTTATAGTTAAAATAAATAAAATCCGCCCAATAACACAACACGAGAATATTCCTCTCATCTTATTCAAGTGTTATTGTGTTATTCAAGTGTTATTATGTGTTATTCAAATGTTATTGATGTATTATTGTGTTATTATAATACCTAGAACATTCTAAAAATATAACAACATATCAATAACATTTAATAATACTTGAATAACACAGAATAACACGGAGGGAATATTTTCATATGTTACCGGCCGATTTTTTTTGTACCTCCACGTGGCGTGATTTCATTGGACTTCGCACGTAACTCTACGTGCGTAGTCCTAATGTAATAATTTTTACGCTACACCCAAGGCTTAAGGTCTACCCCAATAGCTTAATCTTATAAAAAAATCTACATATTTTTAATATTTTGGAATGACTATATTACAGTTATTTTTGAACAAATGAACTTTCTGCCTCTGTGTTGTTTATAACAGAATTATTCATACTAGCATATTTCATACTTAAAAGTGAAAATTCAATTTAAACTTTATAAAATAAAAGAAGACACCTCACATAACTGTGAGTAACACGATAATCAAAATTAAAAAAAAAATTATTAAAATAATAATTAATAATATAATAATATTATTTTTAAAATTCACTTCACTTATGTCACGTTATAAGTTCGTCCTCTAAGGAAACTCGTCGTACCTTATCACTATCAGCTGTTGATTCTTTCAACTTATCTGTCCACCTAATGAAGTCATATCTTTCTTGTCTTCTTCTTGAACACCTATAAAATTGTCTCTCGTAGCAATGTGACTATCGTGAAGTAAGCAGGGAGTATGGTGTAGCTCACAGTAGCAGTACAATGCTCTGGAGATACTGGAAGTCTTCGAGCTCATCTTTTCTAATGAATTAAAACAACAAAACACAAATCCTTAGATGTAATATTAGCGAAAAAAATATTATATTTAACCAGTGCAAGTTTATTAAAATTTGAGTTCTCATAGAATATAACATAAACCAACGAATTTGTCACTAAAAAAGACACCATACCTCATAAAAAAAGAGTTATTGGTTGCTTTAAAGCACGTAATACCGAGTTCAATGTGTCACACATATATCACCAAAAATAAAGAAAAAACCATCTAGAAGAGCCTAAAAAAATATAGCATTGAAAAAAAAGATGAACTTGATTGATTTCATTGGGATTTAATATGTGACAATAACCAATAACGGCATGTAGGCCTTCCAGAAGAGTCCTTAAGGTAGAATGTCTCATCATTGACCTCCAAAAGACAAAAAATAAACATATTGCCTCTTCGTTCATCCAAGTGGGGGATAATACATGCAAAAGCGTGAGAAATAAAATTAAGATTCAAAATATAGATGATTGGACAAAACATTGATACAACAAATAGTAAAAGTTTTTCACCATTTATTGCAAATAAAGTAGCAACAAAAAATACAATCAGTCTATTCAGCAACCAACGATGGTGTTTGTAATACACTCTCAACTCTTTCATTTCCATGCACCTTCCTCATCTTGGGTGCAACTCTCATGTAATTCAACCTATGAAAAATAATGTCCTAAGCGATATTCAAATGCTTCAGCTGAAACATGTAAATGATCTTCATTGGCCTTGTTGAAGTCACTGTCTGCGAGAAAGATGCCACTGAATACAGTAATGAATAGCCATTGTGGCCACCATAATCTACATTTACTTAGGAAACGAATATGTCGACATATCCCTATGACCAATTATTCCTTTCACTCTCGAAATGCTCTTTCAATGATACAGTTTAAAGACGAGTGTCTCTTATTAAGCATTCTTTCCTGCCCCAAACAATATTGTTGAATCTTTCAAAATTGAAAATGTAATATTCGGTATCCTAAAATGGCTTCATAAACCCTCTTTGTAATGGGTGTATACATCGACAAAATAATAGTTATCTGACATAAATACATTAAATGGTATTGCAGTGAAAAAAAATATATAATTAGGATTATAGGTTGAGCAAACTTGGGGAAATGATAGACTTGAAATCACATACAACCATTACATTTTACATTGGTGATCCACACCGCCCAATAAATGAGACATTTTCATTATTCGATACACGTGCATTCACATGTGTTTCATCGATAGCTCAAATAAAATTCTAAGATATTAAAGAAATGTGCATAAATTATTATATTCATTTAACTTATGAATATAATGAATAAAAAGGATTACCTTTAAATATGACATTGGGCATGATAATTTTGGATGGTAAACTCACAAAAGCAATCAACCCAACTAAAAACTATATGTTGATTTTCTCTAATGAATGTTAGAATCGCTTCATTTCTCCTCTCATAGATTCATTATGTGATAAAATGTAAAGGGTTATTGCTAACACCTCTCTGAAAATCATCTTGGAGGAGCCATAAAGCCCATGATTCCTTTATAATTCATCTAGGAGATTGCTAAAAATGGGTTGTGACATACAGAACATGTTCTTGAATCTTGTTGAGTGTCCTACAAGCAACTTCCCAACCCATTCATCACTAATGTTAGATAATGTCATGCAAGGAGATCCATCTACTTATGAGTTGTAGCACTCATATATTAAACAACTACAGCTACAATTCTCCTTCTGCGTCTCTCTCTCTTTCTGAATCCATGTTAGTCAAGCGCTTTATTCAGGTAACTAATAAGAATCACTGAATTAAGTAGCATCACAACATTTTCTAGTCTTGCAACAATCATAAATGAACTTGGAAAAGCAAATAACAAAATGTACGATGAAAAAATAAACATCCAAAATAGCATTTACAGTCTCAAAGAAAAAGAAGAATCTAAAGCAAAATCCAAATTATCCTAATGGAAAACAAATACAAATAGTCCAACAAAAAATAAAGGATTTTAAGCATCCTTGATGTCATGAAAATAACGTATATAATTGACCCTAGGTCAGAGGTCATCGTCATAAAGAACTCTTTATGATTCGGGTCCTCCAGCAACTTCATAAAGAACAAATACAATGACATATCCTTATAAATTTATGGAATTGCCTCCATAATTCATATAACTTGTTGGATGGAAGCTGCTTGTGATGTCCCAAGTTCATTGGTGAATGAAGCCACCAGTTGTAAAATTTGGCTTCTAATGAAAACAACCCCTTCTTTTTTTCTTTTTCTCCACCCTCGAACGCTTTGATCAACTAATGGATTCAACTTCATTGAGGATCAAGCTATGGCCTTCATTGGAGTCAACTATTTGTGCGACATCTAAGTCTCAACTATGTCTGCAAACCCTCACTAGAGGTCCATGCATGCTGCTCATTGGCACGACTCCACCAAAAATATAGTCCAACTTCTCTTCTAGCTCAAGGTCAATACCAATGAATTTGAATTTTTTTGTAGGTAGCACCACCAAAAACATAAAGGGACATGGATATGCTGATATATTTTAGGAAAAAATTTTATTATGTAGGTTAGATCTATTTTCACCTCCAATCTCTCAACCCACGACTCTTCTGAAGTATCAATTATCCGCTTGTGGATCCTCATTTCAATTTCTTCCTAATTTTTTAGTCTTTTTATAATTGATCCCACTTATTTTTCAATTGCGTCCTATCGAATTCACTTCATGTAGTTTCCTTTAACATTTTCATAATATTTTTCTAGCACTCCTTGTTAAAATCGGCTATAAGCTTATTTCCCTATTTCACCTCCTTAAGGCATATGTTGCAAAATATTAGTTTTGCTTCCTTATTCCATATAGTAGATGAACCGAGTTCATTTGTCTTAATCAATGTGCTACTAGCATAGAAAAAGTTAAACAACATAAATATTTGAAACAAATAATAACTACCACAAATCAAATAAAAATAAAATTCACATTTTAATTACCACTGCCCCCACAGCAACCACCACCAAATTCGCACCACACACCACCATTTCCACACCACACCATCACTCTAAACACCACACTACACAACACTACCTCCACACCACAACCACCACCACTACACCACATCCATACCACACACATACTCCACACTATCACCCCAACAACACACACAATCACCTCCACACCACATCCACACACTACATCACCACCTTCACACCATATACATACACCACACCAAACACAATCTTCTCAACACCACACCAAACACAATCTTCTCAACAACACACACCATCGCCTTCGCACCACGGACCACCACCTCCACCTTACATCATCTCCACACCACACCACCATCCTGTATACCACATCCACACACCACACATCACACACCACACATCACCACCTCTATAGCAAACACCACTAGGTCCACACAACACACCACCACACACTACACCAC